AACAAGAATTTAAATGTAAAGTTGCACTTCAGAGGCGTCACTAGGATCGCACTTATGTCCCTTGGCTCCAGAATTACTGCAATTGCATGATCCTCTGCCGAGCTACAAGCGGGATGAAAACTCACTTCAAAGTCTGCCAACGTGTCATCTTAATTATGTCACCCTAGGAACTTACTCCAGACTTTCCTGCGCAGGACATTAATTTGCCAGACAACATCAGGAAGTTGCACTTTAACTCTGGATCACTTTGACAAAGTTCTAAAATGTGAAATTAATTAATGGGAACCCTTCCCCACGTTTTAATTATTGCAGTGTCTGCCTAGCAATCTGCCTAAAACTTGGAGCTATACAGCAGCCCTTAGCAGCTTCTCCCTCAAGCCCCTTCCTCCTAACGCTGAGCAGAACACTGCTCTTCACAGATGTTTAGTTTGCAGACTAGTAGTTTATAGCATCTTGCCTGACAGTAAAGCCATTTGTCATTATGATCAAGTTAATAGTTATTATTACTCAAATATGCTATAGTCATTTTGTGTTGATACACGGTATTAACCAGTTTCCATAGCTACAGCAGACAGAACAATTCAAGACCTCAGGGTCTCCCGAGAGTTGAGAGCCAAGAGAAAACTGCTCTCGAAAAGGTGATGGGACAGATAGGAAGAGATTGTGATGTACAGCATTCAGTGTGCAGAGATCGTCAAGCATATTTCACGGCTTTCAGCAAGCACGTTATCTGTTTGAAGCTCCATCTTCAAAAGCCTAAGCACTATTTACCTGGTTTTCCCTTGTTCATTAAAGTGTTCTATCCCTGTCAAAAGTGATTTATGGACTCTGTTGTATCACTAAATCTCATTACTGACTAACGCTTCCTAGTAAGGGGGATGAGAAGTCTTATCAGTAAGATAGCGTACGGCGGCTATGCACCGAAGGAGGGATACGGCACTGGAGGATGTCTATGCTACCGTCCCAATGCGCCCGCAGCGTGCGCGGACTAGAGCCAAGGCTGCGGGGTGGGCACTGGCGAGACGCACCCCTTGAGCAGCAGAGCCAGCCAAGGGCCCTCCGTACCAGCCTCGGCTGTAGCTCTTCCAACGGGTACCTAGCTAGCTCAGGACTACGGAAAACGCACAGACCTTCCTTCCACTAAAGGATGTCTGTTAACATTGCATAGGTATTTTGAACTTACTCACTGTAGGAGAATGGCCTGATAAAGGAAGCGTGTTTAAGAAAGATGATAAAAAACCCACATATAATGGAGTATGGAATTAATGAAAGAATGGAAAGAAAAGTAAGCTTTCATCCTTTAGGGTATAAAGTAGCCACTTAGACTTCCTAGTTCTTTCTATTCTGATTGTTCCTCAATATGCTAGGTTATTTTACCTCCTTTTCAAGCATTACTGCAGCCACTGGCAGAATGAAGGTAGTGGGATGGATTGTAATTAATTCCCAATTCCATGCTTGTAAAAGTGTAATGTTTTTCATCCTTCATTATGATCTTTTAAGTCCAACAAACTCTTAAGTTAGAGATTGCTAGTCACGTAGTAAGGCTCATTTGAAAACCGCTGTAAGTGGATCCAATTACTATGTAACTAGGTTTTGACAACTATTCTTTCCACTGACTTAGAGAACAAAATCTACGCTGTGAGTACTGTAATAGAAAAATTAATTCCAAGATGGAAAGGACTATTAAACCATATTGTGTACATGACATGAAAAAACTCAGCCAACAGCCAGACTGTGTTATCTGTCACTAGGCAATCTTGACTGAAGGCGCTGTTCATCACTATTCTGAACTTAGCGCTACCTGGAGCAAAGTGTCTATTTACGCACTTCTTGTTTCATAGCTGCTGACCTTAACTCTCTTCTCTGTTCTTTCACTGCAGCTACATCCTCGCTCTGGGGCCAGCCGGTACCATGCTCTCAGGTATGTGCATTATTCCACCAGCAGTGCCGAGTGTTGGTCTACAAATTCTCTGCTTCCTCGGAGATGAATTTGCATCTCAAACTATTGACTGTTCAAATGGAAAGCATTGTAATCTGTTTCCCCAGAGGGCTTGTCTGCACTAACGTAAAACTTGCCCTGCACATAAACAAAATCACTCAGATGATAGATAACATTTTTCGAAAAGCAATTTCAAAACACACACACAAAAAAATGTTAAGAACTCCATGCATCTTTTAATACAGGTTTATTGTTAAGCTGAAACCTTGTCTGACAAGTGTCAGCCCTGAGCAACTCTTGTTAAAAAAACCAGAAAGACACAAACACAACAAAAAACTCACAGGGTTCGCTACAGACTTTTAAGGGAAATACTGTAATTGAACTCACTCTGGAGGTTTATATAAGCAGAAGGAATGAAACAAAGACTCCCCTTTGCTGAGGAGGGGTACTCATTATAGAGTGTAGACGCAAAGGCATGAGAAAACTGGTCTTGCCGTACTCTTGAAAGATCCACAGTTGTAGGAGCAATGCATCCACCTTATAATCTCCAATGAAACACAGGTCCCAGGCAGCTGTTCTTCATACCTGCTTAGATTAGAGCTTGCATAGGCATTGTAAGGTACACGCTTACTCTCTTCATAACCCTTTATGAGTAAAAGCCATGAACTTTAATCAGATCCCTGCTCTCATGTTGAACGAGTACTTACTTTTCGATGTTGTGCTTTGAATTTAAGACACCTGGAAAGTCAGAGGCTTAGAAACGTCCGTTGGGGTGACTCCTGTCAGATCCTTCTATTGCGCCGGAACAATCTACGAAGTGACTGTAACTAAATTCAAACTGTACGCTTCAAGGTATTTCATTAATGAGCTGCAGTGCTCAGTCACAAAGTTAATTGATTAGTCTTACTTCTGTGACTGGAGTGGAAACACTAAAAGATAAGCCAGGGAGGAAGAATCAGCTAAGACTTTGAGTCACAAAAAAGCCTTATCCCTTTGATGAGAAGTGTCAGATTAATCTTCATAAATGGTCATAATTACTTGTGCCTGGAGCTCAGCCAAGTCATTCCAAATAAAAATTAAATTATATAACTAATTGCATGTTCAGTCTCCTCTCCAGAGTGTTAGAACCACCACAGCCCTACAGAAACATGCAGACATTTACCCTGTTACAAGCATACAGGAAAAGACATTTGCCTAAATATTGAGTAGGCTAACCTAGTATTTATTGATTATATTTTTCCTTAAGTAATAGTTTCCCTAAAGCTTGCCTATACAGACTGTCACAGTTACTGTTAGACACCTAGCTCCTTTGGTAATCTGCAGATGACTCTCCATTCTTCATTAAACGCAGTTTTAACTATAATCGGCAGACCCATATCAGATGGGAAATTTATGAATGCTGTTGAAAAATTATAGATCTCGGGGGAAAAAAATAGTGAAATTAATTAAGTTCGGTTACTGGAAAAGGGATGAGTATACAGACACCAAAGCTGATGACATCTAATACCAGAATCAAGACTCATCTTGGGGGTTCCAAGAACAGTACTAATACTTCAGAGGAAGGAACACTTCTAAAAGCAAAATCTTCGTAAATCTAGTAGACTACTACTTAGTGGGCACAACCCAGTTCTCTCCTGTGATTATATACGCTTTGGAAATGGATGAAATAAACAGGAAACACTACAGATCCACCCCCATGTCAGAAGTCCAGGACTAAATCAGTATACATTCGAGAAATTATTTGGTCCCTATACATTCCTTATGCAGCCTGTACCATCTTAGTATTACATCTTTTTAGCTGGTTGTAAATGGGATTCCAGAAACATAGCATGTGGAGCTTTTAAAACAAAGTTAGAAAAGGAAGCTGGCTTTTCCTCATATGAGATGTTGCTTACTTATTTTCTTTAGTTATTCCAATTCTAAATGATACTAAGTAACACAATAGCTGAAGCATCTCCACTGACTTACCTTGGCAAAGACAGGACAGCTTGCATACCGCTATATTATCTGACAAAACTAATAGGATGCTGCTGTACGTTCAGAAATCTAATAGGATTCCACTGTATATTTAGGAAATAAAAGCTAGAGAACAAATTATTTATAGTATAATTTTATTCACCTAGAAACAAAGGGTCAAAAGTCACAGCATGGAAGTTCACTTTATTTTGTAAACTCATTAAAAAGATGTCCATGTACAAAAGGACATTTTAACAACGTAAATGCAGACAAAGGAAACTATAAAAATTCAACACATAAAAAGTTGAGCTTTTATTTTCTTTCTGCGTAATCCCTTGCATCTTCCATACCAGTCTGTGCACAACCTTAAGTACAATTGTTAGAATCGTTAAAATTCAAGAGGCTGAACATAAAACCATTTGCTCTGCTATAGGAATGTGTTGCTGAAAGATACAAACCCTGTAGCATGTTAGCTAGAAGTAAGACACAAGACCGAAGGAACTGGCTGAAAGGCTTCTAAATTGTGCATCCATCTTCTGAGAATTCAATCTCAGTTTTCTTTCTGCAAATACTTAGAGTATTCCTTAGGGAAGTAACAGCATTGGACTGAACAGTGCTTTGTCAAAAAGATGTATGTCTCCGTATTGCCCTAATACATCTAATGCAGATTCAAAAATAAAAACATTTCTGAAGTAAAACCATTTCAGTCCCAACAAATGTTTATTTTGCACCAAAACTTACAGCAGCTGTATGACAAGCTACTGTGACATATAATGCAGTCTTCAGTATTGGCTACTGACTGCAAGTTTGGACTTAAATCCTTGAGACACTGCCAGCGAAAGGTCAATTATAAAACTACGTTTCTTTTTAATCTGAGCTAATCCGCACTTTAATTTGTCCCTGTTTCTCCCCCCAACATGACTCTCAGGATTGAAAAATTATTCTTGTAACCATTACTTGAGGTTTCTGTAAAATGCTTGCTTTCTGGTGTCCTCAACGTAGGCTTGAGACTGTTGAGTGTTTCTCTAGATCCACTGGTTCTTCACTAACCAGAGCTTTTTCAGTCAGGAAAAATCCATGTCACATGTGACTCGTTATACTCAATTTCCAAGAGTTAAGTAAACATCTCGTGATTAACAAAGAGCAACTTGAATGCCTAGAGTTAATACACTTCCAAGATTTGTTTGTCCTCTGCCAGGACTTAGTGCAAGAAACGAGCCCCGCCAACATAAGGCACTTACCTACGTTACACGAGAGGGGCAGGGGCGAGAACTCTTGTAACATGCAAGTCTAGTAAGAGTCTCACTGGAGAAAACACAAGCTCTCGCTGACTCCGGCTGCACTGCCACTTCATTGTGAGCTGCTGTAATGAAGTCTGCTCTGTAACAGGTATCAGATCCTCCCGTTGGCCGCCACTTCGTTAATCTTCGATTTTTGATGATCATATTTCACAGAAACAATAAGGAAAAGCAAGAGGGTTGCTCCTTGGATAGCAGCCAGCAAAAAAAAATAATAGTTTAATTGGCAGCCATTAATATTACCTGGAAAGAATTGGGGAGGGAAAAAAAAAAAACCCATTAATTAAAAATATACAAATAACACTGTCAATCCCTTTGAGCTTAAGTAGCGAAGACTCTTCTGCAAAACATGGGCAAAACCAAACCAAATCACATCTCCATTCGACAGCATAGTTTTGTTTTTAATTATCCAGAGCAAAAGATGGAACTTCTGAGGAAGATGCACACATACAAGGATTGCTTTCTTTTGTGCTTCAATGCATTAAACCAAGTAATGTCCCTGAACAAGCCGATATGCTGTTACTGCACGATTTCTCATGAACAAAAATTTGCTGGAAGCTCCTCCCTACCACTGTGAGAACTTTGTGCAAAGACTACACACATATAGCAGTGGGCATGCTTCGTGAGAGTCAAAAGGATTTTAAAAGGCTAATAAGCTAATAATCTCCCTTTCTTCCCCCTCTGCCCCCCCCCCCTTTTTTTTTTTTTTTTTCGTTTTTCCCCCCCCTGCCCCCCCCCCCTTTTTTTTTTTAAGTCTGGTTTCTATACTGCAAAAATTGCAATGCTTTGTTGACTTCAGATAAAACAGCTCAAAACATCAATGTGTATTTTCATATATGATTTACTTCCTTTGTAATGTAAGTAATAGAGATCACTTATCATTTTGAGGGGACAATTTTTGAGGGGACAACTCGTTTCAAAAGCAAAAAAAGAAAACATCCCGGTGCTGTGGCCACTAAACAGACTTGAAAAAGAAATTTCTGCAAATAAAGCCCTGGACTGTAAACTGTTCAGCAACAGCTCCCAGTGAAATGCAGCATTCAAGATGGAAGCAAAACTACACTCATACAGGTTAGTAACTTAAAGCCTTTACCATCTTTACTAGATATCATTATTATTATTAAGGAGCCTGGAGAATGCAGTGAAGTGATAAGGCTTTAGTCAAGGGAAAAAAAAAGAAAGTCTCATGTTTTACAGCTTAATTGAAACAGGTAAAAGTATGATTTTTTTGTACTATATATACACACTAGAGAGTCCTCTCTAGCAGGCTTTTCAGCCGTGCTTAAAGCTGTATGGTCTGTCTGCATCTGGAGGCCTGTACCTCCCTTCTCTGCTAAGTCAAAGATAAAATAAAAATAATCAAAAAGTGAATGCTATTAAGGAAAAAGTTTGGCAACTCTGTAGATATAAGGAAAGCAATTACTGAGATTTTCTCTCAGCCTTCTTTATGTGGTTTCTTTTTGGTTCAATTCACCTTTGACACTCCCTCAAAGTTGTTATAACTTAGTGATTTGTACCACATTAAATAATGTTGAATTAAGAAAGCTCATTGCGAAAACATTATTCCTCTATTAAGAGATGTGCACTAACTATTGCTGTACTTCCAAGAACAATATATTGTGGCTCATTTCCAACACGCCAACATGAGCCACGGCCAATTGGACCATTATGATTATCAAAAAGGTTAGGGAGAGTAAAAATAGTGAAGTATACATTGATCCTAACAAGCTGTTCATGCAGCATGCCTATAAATGTTCAGATTAAATTACTTTAATTACTGAAACTTAAGATTCAATTAAATGAACTTATAATAAAATGCAATAAAATTAAACGGAGTCTTTCCTTGACATTTAAAATACAATATACACGTGAATCTCCATTTCAAGAGCAGATACGTTTAAAGAGTAGTAATTATCCTTTATAGGAAGGGATATTAAACCTGTGAAATCTCAGTTTTTGTCAGAGAAATAACAGTCATTTCAATGGCAGCAATCAACACTGAAGTGCCAGCAGAGAGTGAGCCTTCTCAGTAGATTTTGGAGGCAGTCAGTTACCTCAAATGATATCATGAGTTAGCATAAATAGCAGAAACTTGGTGCACGTGCTTACAGTTATTTTACAGCATCTAACGAAAAATTCAGAAGAAGTCATTCATTCATAAAGACTCCTCCTTACAATTCCTACCCTGGAAGACCTAAGTAAATTTTAGATGTGACTTTGATAACTTTCAATAATGTTATACCAAATGAAAATTGAGTTATAAACAGTTACTGATGTAAGCTGTTAAAACAGTAGCTACTATGGATGCTACAAATCAAAATCACCCACTGAGCGCTTCAACCTTGAGCCAGACGTATAGCTGCTGAGAAGGCTCGATTGTGTATCGAGTCTCCGGACTAAGGAAGGTAGAAATACCCAGTTCTGACAGCTGGCCAAAGGACAATCCACTGAGCTGAGCAGCTTATTCAAAACAGATGACCAATGAGTCATGAAAGGCAACATCTTCCAGTCCTAGCCAACTCTGGCTATATTTAGCACAACCTAAATATTTTACAGAGAGAATATTAGGCACTGTCTTCTCTTAGGCTGCTTCAGAAAACAAAAGGCAAGAGGCTAAAAAAGCACCATCAAATATCCAAATATCACATATATTAATTTGTATGAAATTATTATCCTCCTACTGAGCCATTAGCAACTGAATTATCTCTATACAGAATTGGAGAAAAAGATGCTCTTCTAATTTTGAAATTGACTGGGGGAAAAAATCTCCATGTGACTGAATTTTCATTTGGTGAGGACAATTCCATAAAGTTAAGGCTACTTGTCATCTAGAGAACAACTTATAAACCAAAAGATGACAACTCGTGGCATATGTACTGTTCCAGACAACATTACTTTTTGGTAGCATGCAAATCAAGCTTCAATGGCAAATTCTCTCACACCAAATTTAAAGGAAGTTTAGGCTCCAATTTTAAGCCATGTATACACAGTAGGTCTAGCATACGTTTTAAGAACTTCTCACACTCCTTCTGCTGGAACTAATTAGCCCATTGATGATGGTGTGATTTTCTGAAATCCCCAAGGTGCCACCTACTGGTACCAACAATTATTTTTAATTTCAGCTGGCAACACAAAGCAGATGATACGTTGGACTTTAAGAGTATAAATAGCTAGCACACAGAAATGCAAAATTAACTCATGGTAATTCTGATGAAGTCTCTTGAGACTAAGAAGCTGAATAATCACTGAGAGAGAGATGGGTACATTTTACTCCCCATAACCGCAGAAAGTAATTTCAGTACTTTATACCAAATATATTCTTCTTCCACACATAATTTAAATATTTTTTACTAAAATACAAAAGTTTATAAGTCATTTCTAGTGATGAAATGCAGTAACAGCTGAGCAGGTAACTGACAGGCCTTACAGCAGCAAAATACTATATGCACGTTTCCCATGCTTTCACGAGGGCAATGCATCGTTGTGCATAGTCACGTTACTTCATACTTATATGCAAGATGAAACTTTGTCTTTAACAAAACAGCAGACAAATTTATATTTTTAAAATAATAACTGTGCTAAGACTCAACAGTTTCACATGCTTGATGCTTAACTGCTTCTGAAGGAAGCCTTCTACTTTATAGACTATGAATACACTGAAAATAACTTACCAAAATCCGTGTGATTACTCATCCAGCCAATTTCTTTAATAGACACCAGTGCCAACAATCCAGAGCCAACAAATGATCCAATCCCCGAAAAGAAAAAAAACAGCCCCATAATAGCACTCTGCATAGATTTGGGAGCAGCTGAATATGCAAATTCTAGACCTGTATTAAAAATATAAAAAACAATGCTATTGGAAGATCGAAGAAACAATACTAGTTCATTCTTGTTTAGTGTTGTAGAAGTTACAGATGTATACAACTTCTGGTATGTTAAAGACCTAAAACTAGCCTTGGATTTCAGGAGACAGGGAATTTAGGTAGTGAATCCCTATCAGTTCCCAGTTCCCTCTAATTGCTTTATGAACCCTGTTAACAGTCATCAATATATCAACCCATTAAATGGACAACATTTGAGACACACACTTTGATCTTATTAATATTACATGTGTAAAATCAAGAAATCTTCTGAGGAAGCGCATTCATTCTTCTGTCTAAAATTATCCTCAAAGAAATTTATTAAACTAACTCCAACCTGGCAGGTTCCGTGTTCCCCATTTCACTTGCTTCTATATTGCCTCTCTGTTGTGCAGTATCTACGAAACACACGGCATTCCCTGCTGAGAACAAAGTACTCGGGAACTGAAGGTCACTCTTGCATTGACCATGCACATTTATTTCTCACAGACTCAGTGTCTGTATCTCTGAATGTGCAAAGAAATTAATTGCAGCTGGAAAGGCAGTAATCAGTTTTAATTTAATTTTGATCTAGAATTCTCCATGCTCATTGCTTGCTGGCCTATTCTTTTTAAGGCTTGTAGAAACGGGACTTCAACTTTAAACTACACTTACTCAAATTTCAACCTATAAAACCAAGAAAAACATACCAGTGACATCAATTTGAAAATCTGTGCTACTGAATTTTAGGACCAACAGAACACAGAGGGTTAGGCTCCGCCTTGCAAAGACTAATGCCCACGATTAACTCTCCTTTTTAGAATAATACTCCTGTCAAAAATCAAATGGGATTATTCACAAGAGACAGTCAAATACATTCTTTGTAGAGCTTTTTCTCTGACAGGTGAAATGCTTGTTTGAAAATAGTCAGCTTCATACTGAAAATTAATGCTACCTCATCTAACATTTTTCTTGGCAAAGAGAGCATTATTGACCTGAAAATGGCACAAATCTTACGTCCTGCATAATAAAGGTATGCTTTATCTTCACCATTACTGGAATCTGACTTTTGCTGCTCCAGACAGAGTTTAATGGAAATACACTGGCATTTCTTTTCAAGAAAAGGCTTAACACTTCAAGCCAGATAGGTCAATTTGCCTGTTGTGAGGGAGGAACTTTGCTCTTGTAAAAGAAACAGAACTGTGTGTTCTCACTCATCTAACAGCCTTCTGCACTGCCACCTGAGACATCTCTGATAACCAACACACTGCTTCTCTTTTCCTTTGCAAAACACGTTAGAATGGGCCAACAGCAACCTGTCTGTGATTCTAGAAGGGAACCGAAACATTCTTCATGCAACTCAGCTGTGTGGGTTCCTGTAAATTCAAACCGTAACAAGAGAATCTCTACAGAGATGGAGAGACATCTGCAAATGGTGAAGGGGGGGTGGGGGCGAAATTATATTTGAGAATTAAAAACTCAGGTTTTTTTTAGGATTTGCTACTAATATAACAATTCAGATTTTTCAAGAAGTATTTATCTGGCCAATCTCACTTAGGGAAAAAAAAAAGCAGACTAAGGATAGGAGTAGCTTGGTTTTTAACCTCTTGTTAAGCTATCATAGCTGCCCCAAGTCGCCAGGGTATCAGTCACATTTTGGCCACCGGGCTTTTGTACATTCTGTACAAGTTAAGCTCAAGTATACCACAGGAAAGGATCTGGCCCATTTCTTCTCTTGTTCATTTTACAGATATACTGGATGCGAGTGTTACTGCTGGAAAAAGATCTTAAGACTCAAAACAAAAACCAAAATGGGTGTAACACTATGCACTTTTTGCAACAAAATAAGGCACGTTTCTGAACTTGAATAATGTTTCCAGCAACCCTAATATTTAATCGGGCATAAAGAATATAAAGTCTTTTCTTTGCCTTCAACGATTTTTTTTGCCTGCTGGCAGCCATTGATAACAATTTCATGCTACCTCAAACAAGCAGTTTTGAAATTAAACCCTCTAGTTGGTGTTGTCATGTGAGATTATGATTCCCAGTTAAATAAGGGTGCTTTAAGAGGATTGACAGAGTAATACAAAAGATTAATGCAATGTGTGTCATCTTTGTAAAGGTACCTCAAGTGTAACTAATGTGGCTTAATAAGAATATGCTTAGTTTTACAGTAAACAAAAAAACAAACTTATGTTTCTGCTCTTATGACATTTAGTCATTTCACATTTTCCAAATCACTACAGTTTTGTAACCACTAACACTTTGCTTATTTTAAAGCTGAATTTCATAGCACAACAGATGCCTTTATCAAATTTAGTATCAAATTGGTAAAGTATGCTCTATTAAGTCTTGAGAGGCTTTCTTAAAGATACTAAGAATTCAGTTTAGGTAACAATCAGAAGGCAGGAAAAAACACTTTGTGAAACAAATCAAATGGAAGTGTAATACACAAAGCAATTAAGATCCGCATAGAATTTCTGGTGCAAAGAGAGAGAAGCTTTTGCATTTTTCCTAACATTGACCAACAAGTTTTGAAGTTATAAAGCTGTTGGTACAGACCCAGCAAGTGCAGAACAGCAGGGTATTCACATAAGAATAGCGTTACCCTTAAACACTTCACTTTTCATAAAGAAGTTCACTAAAGCAGTTGAAAAAAACCAACCCTCAGTTTGGAGTTCACCAAATAGAGAATGCATCAAGTCCTTGACCTTTCCACAAGCTGCAGATAGGTTTGTTATTCTTTCCTTGTGAATACCTATAAACTAGTAAACAGTGACTGACAGAAACAAGAATGTGTAAGAGGGAAGAAATTTATTTAGTTTTGCAGAACACTTGCATTTCTGATAAGTCATCTGTTTATCTGAGTTCAGATTTAATTGGCACATTCCCTAAAGCTGTAACTAAGGGTAATTCATTTTACTCTTTTGATAAAAATGCTAAATACAGCCTTAGTTTTCATAAGTAACTCAATTAAGCAAGACTTCCATCTTCAGATCTTTATGGTGTTAGGGTTTGTGGTGGCTACTGTTCACACATAATGAAAGGTACTGTCATATAGGACAGCAATGACTATGCAGATACATCCTCTAGCAAAAGATACATATTGATTGCACTGCTAAAGCATACTTCCCCTTTAAGAATCTAAAGTGGTTAGCATCTTGGGTCTTAGTGTGCTTTACAGGTAACGAACTCCCCCCACATCTTTGTAGTTGTTTATTGAAGCAAATTAATTCAAGGACTTGCCTATACATCACTGGGGGGAGGCAGAAACCACACAAGGAACCAGGAATGGGGCTGTTAGCAGATACCAATGACCTCGGACCTTCAGCCATTCGGCACTTGCAGGTGCATCTACAATAATGACTGCTGCAGTACAAAAAGTGAAGAACTATGATTTCAGCTGGTGCAACCCAGCAGGACCTTACATCCAAATCTTGGTTTTACTGTCATGAGGGTTTGTGCTAGGTGCTGGTTTCCAGGTACATGCCGTGCATGCATAGAGCTCACTGTTTGTTGGAGAACCCTGCATTCAGGCTGCAAATGGGACACTCCCAACAACAACCTGGTGCGAGACATCAACCTACTGTCCACCAGGAAGGAAAGAGCACGCTGGCGGTGCATTTGAATGCATACCGCAAAACTACAAATACACACAAGACAAAGCCACATCTAAAAAGAATTCCTCCAACATACTAAATAACTAAGGTAGAGTTTAATACGTGATGGATATGCCTAATTCTTCCAGTCACATGAAATCCCAGGCCACACAGCTGGAAGAAAAGCTTAGAGCAAATGAGCAGGTAGGAAAAAAAACCCCAAACCCACATGTTCTTCTACTTGCCAGTCGATCCAACCACCTTGCTTTATTTCCTAACAGCTGTGATGACAGTAGAACACATGTAATCAAGATGGAGTAGAAGTTCTCTGTTCCACTAAGAGGGGAACAAATGGGCCATGTGGCAGCCGGGGCTACTGCCAGCAAGATCTTACAGAATTAGAGAACCTCATTTTAACCCGCTGTGATTGCCCAGCGTGAGGAATGAAAGCAGCCTCCTACAGGGGAAACGAAACCAGGAAATTCTGTCATAAGGAATCGAAGAAAAAGACCTATATGTAATGCCAGTTTGAGTGGATGATCTTCAAAGTTCAATATTCTGAAACAGTATTTCAACACATTAATAAGTAACTACAGCTAAGCAAATACTAAATGATTTTTAAATCGGGTCACTGGAGGAGATCCAATATATTGCATCAGGTAGCTCTGCAATACTATTGAAGTAGTACCAGAATAGCTACTTCTACGATCGTGAAAGGTTTCTGTTACTGGTAACTAAGCATTGCTCCCAAGCACTAGATATGCAGACACTGCGCTAAGAGATTCACAATAGCATTTCACTTGTTTAATCACAGTAAACCAGTGTCAGGCATACCACAGTGACAACAGATAAATTGCCAGTGCTTTCCTCCTGCTAATGAGCCCTGCATGTATATGAAACAGACCAGAAAATAAGATTTTATAGTCCTATTCACCCTCTCCTCCCACTTCACTTTTAGCTTAAAAATCAATATGATCACACAGCTGTCCACTACATCACACAGAACAGTATTAAGAAATTTAAGATCTCTGGTGAGATTTGAACAGTGTTTCAGTTTGCCTAGTATCACATTGAAGTACTAAAATGATGACAGAAAAACTGATCTATAAGTAAAGCAGATAAAACTGTATAAAAAATAGCTACTTCATTATTAATATTCACAAAAACCCTAGTTTAGATTGAGCGTCACATAACTTTTCTTATTTCAGAGATGTAAAAACTCAAGTAACATGAATCTAAACTGGCGATAAATCTTTCTAAAGATGGTTTATTTCTTCCTTTTTCCCTCAGAAGGGTGCTTCCACTTACTAATTGACTTTCTAAACCGTGATCTCAGTTTTTAAGCCAAAAAAATTACACAGCACAAATTTTATTTGCAACCCAGACAAAGATTCAGAGGACACAACAGTGCATTAAAACTATTCTTTAAAATACAATATTGAAAGAGTATATTGTTTTCCATTAGGGCTTGCAAATATCCAGTGCTAAGTGGATGACACGCAAATATTTAAATGTTGGTCTGCTTGAAATTCAGTCTTGAAAACATATTCTTATCTAGCCAATTTTCAAATGTGAAAGACAATTGTGTGCTTTGTCACTTATATTAAGTTATATTGTATAATATCGTATTCGGGAACATTAGAGCTTATTTATAATGATTTGAGAAGTAAATATTTCTTTTCCAGAACGCATCATTTATGATAGATGTGAAAGCAGATTTAAAACACACAAAGACTCTTACCTGCTATACTTGCAAATATTTCACTGAATCCAATCAGCACATATTGAGGAATCTGCCACCATATTGGCAAATCTGCAGCATGGTATGTAACATTTCCAATTGTCTGATTAATTGTTTTAACCTTTACAATTTTCAGTCTGTTGCTTTCCAAAATTCCTACATGGAGGCCGGGGGAAAAAAAAAAAAAAGATTGACCTAAGATGCAAACACTGTTTCTTCATATTAAGAATTAAATTAGGATTCAGTCCTGCACTGCAACTACAAATTATAAAACAGGAGTATGTATTTCCTTATTTCCTAACATAAAGCATTTCAGACTACTTTTGCTATTGTTATCTCAAGACATACAGTTCTTCCGCCATAGAATTAGTGATTATATTCTTATTCAGTAGCAATAATTATACAAATACTTAACCCTTTTCCAGATGGATTAGCTGAAAGCCTTCTCATACAAACTATGTTGTTGTTTTTAAAGACAATCTCGTTTTCACAAACTACTACAGTGTCGAACCATTGCATCTGCCACCATAGTATTAATAAATTAGAAACCATTTTGCTTATCAAAATGGCTAGGCTAGTCCTGTAAAACTATGAAAACCCTCTGTGAATATGATCATGACATTTATGTGACACTTATCATCCCAAGAGATCCAAAAGCTCATTAGAGCTTGATTTACAAGCAATATACTGCGTAGAAAGCACTTCATGTAGAATGAAAAATAGACAGGACAGTGTAAAATGTAGCAATTTTTAGCTTGCTCAACACAACAGGTTAGAGTAGAAAGTGACTATCAAATAATGCTGTAGGGTTTTTGTTGAGTTTGCCCAGATTAAAGGATTTGCCTCGCTGTTACATAAAATGCACAGAATAGCTCATAGTTAAAAAAACCTCCCTGCTTCACCCAGGAAGGACCTCTATAAAAGAAGCCTTGACATCCTTGGAAATAAGGTGGATTTATTCATCACCAATTCAGAGGAGCAAGGCTGAGTCAATGCCACTACTTCCTATAGTACGTTACACACACTGCCTCCCACTTAGTGCCTGTCAGTTTTAGTCTCTTTCTACTTTATGAGCCAAGATCTGACCTAATCGTGGGGCACAAGTTATCACTCCTGTTACAAAAAAAATTGTACAAGGCTTAGATGACAGATGCGATGCTTCATGGATATCATACCATGTACAAGTGATTAGATCTGCTTCCTCACTTCTAGCTTTTTCTTTCCTAGAGGCAGCCGAAGGATGACATGGACACTTAATGTGATGTTGACTGAAGTTATTGACAGCACTTTTCATATAAACAAGCACAAGCAATTTCTAATGCACAATATAATATCTGCTCTCCTGTTTCTTCCCAAATATGCGACATACAAACCTCGAGGGGGCCAACCAGATCACCATCTCTCTGCTAAGTGACAGTGTTCCAAGGGAAATGCCTGATGTTCGCAAAACCACCTCCTACCATAGAATCATTTAGGTTGGAAAAGACCTTTAAGATCATCCAGTCCAACCATTAACCTAACATTACCAAGTCCACACTAAACCAATTAAGGGTAGACTAGACTAACCCATGGCCCAAAGTGCCATGTCTGCCCGTTTTTTGAACGCTTCCAGGGATGGGGACTCCACCACCTCTCTGGGCACCATGACATGCAGTTTCTTATTAGCCCTGGTCATGGCCAGAGACCCAAGCTGGGAAGAAAGCACAAGGAAAGCTCCCTGTAGTCCCTGTACATAGTCTGTAGGTGAGGCCATAACTAAACAAGAAGTTCTAGAGATCACATGCTTAAGAATAACATCGTATTTCATCATTGTAGGGAGGGAGAGCTCCGACAACCAGACTGAGGGAGCACACCTGAACAACTGCCTTAGAAAGTACTTTGAAAAGGCTGGAAACCTGCATTTGTATAGCCCATGTTTATTCATTCATAGCAGTTCAGCATCTATTCAAGTACGAAATCTCACAACAGCTCTACAGTCTAATCCGAGACACAAGAGTTGTAGAGGGAAAACAGGTCAGACTTACTGAAGTTTGTTTAAATACCACCTTGAGCCCCCAAAATGTTTCTTAGAATGAGTGTTTTCCTTAATGACATCTGGTTTTGAGGTAAAGAGTGTTCTGAACTTAGTACCTCTTAGTGCCAGGCCACCACATTTTCTCTTGCCTTCTTCAGTTCTTAGATTAGATTACCACTTACCCATCTTATTTTTAAGTATCTTTCTTCAGCTCTTCAGCCACCTCAGTGCCTTCTGAACTATGAAGAGCTGATGTAATTAAAATAAAGCTGGATTTCTTGATGTTTTGATTTTAATATAGCTGACAAACATTTTAGACTGGAACTTAATTAAAATGTAAACAAAGCAGTACAGTCAGCTAAGAATTCAGGCATAATTTCATTCATATACATTGAACACAAAATTATTGCACCTCAAAACATCTAGTGATCCTTAATGTGTTTGACACTCTACACAACATAAGCAGATTTAGGAGGCATTTAGCCACACAGGAGCATAACCACCACATACGAAACTTGGCTATAAATTTATCTTCAAAGCCGAGTACTTCAGAATCTAGAATCTATTGATTCTTTCTTAGACTTTGATAGACAAGCTTCAAGCTTAATCTTACAGTTTTAGTAGTTAAAAGAATCTTAAGCTCTTGCTATAATTGTTTAAACTCTATAAATGAAGTAGATTTTCCAGTTGAATAACCTTAAATCCTGCTGCTCAGAATTTACGATAAAATGCATGAAGCACAGCAGATGTTCATTAAATCTAATCAGTTGTATTCTCACACAGTTTATAAGATATTTAAAATAATCTAAACAATCTAATAGGCAGCCTAAATAGTATCCAGAACTAATGCCAGTTAGGTAAGTAAGTTAAAATGGACATATGGCACAAACAAATCATTAAGACACTTCCAAGATTGCAAGTTAAGATGTTAACATCTTCATGTGTTTAAGATTTTAATCAGTATCTCTAAGGCAGAAATGGTAGGAAATAATGTTGTATTTTAAGAATACTAAATTATGGCTTCTATAAATATCATTTAGTGAGAAAATAAAAATTTTATGAAACATATAAACCAACAGAAGCTTTTCCCCTTGCTAGAAATAAACAGTTTCCTATGCCCCAAATTTGTCACAACTGAAGCTCTTAAATTCATGTTATGATGAAGGGGTGCTAAATTACTCCAAAAGGTTAAACTTTCCAACCAGACTGCAGATAAGCAAAGAATTCACCTTCTCAGTTTCAACTGTGGAAGAGTTAGGGAAGGATCAAACCAACAAAAGCACCTGTTACATTTGTAGGTGACTAGAACACAAGAAGGCATTTGAAATTTTTAAGTCAGCTATATGAAACCATTCCCCAACTCAGCTATCATAGCTCAATATGCTTTTTTCCCCCCCAGTACTAATAAAGACAGATATTGCTTTTTTTGTGAGCCAGCAGGTTCTATTTAAAGAGCTGACATTTAACTGGTTTACATCATCTTCTTTTGCTGGTAGCAGTGTCCTAAGTAACATGGAATAAGAGAAACATTCCTATTTTAAGTTTAAATGACTTTGCTTTAAGAACTTGCCCACATACAAAGTGACCTTGGCCTAACAAGGTAATTATCTCTCTCATTGAGAGAAATCTTAATAGCCGTATAAAGTGTCCCTCTCTCTAAAATATAGGAGATTACAAGTGCTGAAATTAATTTATTTAATGCTATAATGCTTTATCAATATGTTCATTACAGTGATACTAGGTGAAGGCTATAGGTTCTATGAAGCATTGCTCAGAGATGTTCAGTTCCACATCAGCAGTGCTTAACAACTTTAAATCATCCCAAAAGCAGCTGATTTATGGTTTGAACAGAGTTGCCATCTTTTTCCTTTCATGCTATGGCTAAGCTATTTTACACTACAGTAATCCCCAAACATTAGGGAACATTAAAGCAGGGGTGAAAAAACCCAAAGTGGGAGGAAACTCTTGTTCGGCCATAACCTAACTTTTTTATTTCAGGCAAAGGGAAAGGGTTTTAGGTAAAATTTCACTTTTTTAATGCTTGGAAGTAAGACTATATGAAGGAAGATACTTATTTCTGAACTAATTTGTTTTTCAGGATAAATAAATTTTCAACTTCAAGATAAATGGTTAATAAATCACACAACATGGACTTGCACAATACCATAACGTTTATTTTAGGAGGACTAAGGGCCTTATATCCAAACACTGGGCAGTTTGTTCAGGCAACCCAAACCCTGATCATGAAGCTAAGGCATTTGTTGAGAAACTATGGTCAGAAAACAAATAGTTCTCCTCTACCAAGCATACTAGAAAGTAACACTCTATGTGAAAACCTTAACGAACAAGTTGGTGTTGAAAGGTATACTTGCAGTCTATTTCAGGCAGGAAAAATGGTCCAATTTTATTGCAAATGTTAAAAACACTTTAGTAAGTTTTTGGATAAAATCTCCTTCATTGTGGGAAATGCATCCATGCAATTGCATTCTAAACTATCCCATGAAAAAGACTTCTGAATAATCCTGAAGTAAAGATTCATAAAAGTTTTTTAAAAATGCTGTTGCAAGTAGCTGAGTAAATAGCTATGTAAGTAGATCTCAAAGTTGTTTTCTTACCTGCAGCAAATGCAGAACACATTACAAAGAACATTCCAACTGCAATCCTCTTCAGAGAGGACGGGAGCAAGCCATTCCTCTTTAAAATGGGGTCCACCAATTTATCTTTTAAGGGTATTAGGATCAGAATAAGCACTGCATCAAACATAGTCAACCAGGCTGCTGGAAACTGAAAGGACAGACGACTTCAGTTAGCAATTTCATACTTAATGGTTGATTTTTACTATTATTTAATAAAGGAAGAAATATTTTCCATGAAACACTGAGATCCCAAACAAACCACAGTACGCTGATAGACACTGGAGAAAGGAAAATAAGAGTGTGTAAAAGCTGAAGAAAATAAACACTCAGCTATTCAGGTTTTCATTTAATTTGGCAGTTCATAATTCTGTCAGCTCAGAAGCACAAATGATTCCTCACCACAGTAACTCCAACAGTGTTGCATATTCTCACTTTCAAGATGCATCTCCAGCTGTGCTGAGGCGGGTGCTGGCTTCTTTGGTTGGGTGGTGGTTTGTTTTTTTTTTTTTGGGGGTGGGGGGGGAGCTTTCTGCTGGAACTGAAGAACAGCAAGTGTTCAGAGCAAAAAGGTTCTTTACACAAAAGCAAATAATACTGCACATAGTTCCAAGGAAAATGAGGAATAAGAAATTACTGGGCAGATGAAGAGAGTACTCTGAGAAAACAAAATGGATTTTTTTTAAAGATTTCTAAGTTTCAGCGGGCTCATATTTTAGGTCCTTAATCTGAGTTAATTTTTGTTAAAGCAAAAGTTAACTATCTAACTAAAACTATATGAACTCCTTTTGAAACATGAAATGGCCATTAGCATTATCGCAACATCTGAGTTTTTCTGCATACATCCAGAGATATGTTTAATGGAAAAAAATCACTGTCCTTTGGGAGCTTTTCTGCCATTAAGATTTTTTTAGTCATAGAACATTTGTCCGCGGAATGATTGATTGTGCCACTCAAATCTAGTAAACAAAATGTGCAGATTATTTAAATAAATACATCCCAAGATAAATTTTTAAAAGCATTCAGAGTTAGTATTAATGGCGCACAGGTCAGGAAGTGATTTAATGTAATTAAATAGTCCAGACTGTTCTGCTTCCAATGATATACTCTGACAGAATTAAACTTTTTCCTACTTCAGTCATGAAAAATATTTCATAGGCAGGTTCTGTAGTTCTTCCACTATTAAGCTTAGAACTTTCAGAAACATGCCACAGAACAGTAGAAACAGAGTTTTACTAATGTAATACAAAATTCAATTAAAATTAAATTACACTTGTCAAATGAACAAAGAGTATTGTGTAATACATGCATCCTTTCTCATTTGCAAGATTCAGTAATTGACAATGAGACTCCCATCTGTACAAATGAGTCTATTTCTACCAAGCTTAATAATATTTACTGTCTCTTCTGAGCTAAAAAACCAAGACAGTACAGGAAGATTTATAAAAATGTTCTGGTTTGGAGATATTTTTTAAAATTGCATTTAGAACAGTGTGATACTGTACTATGCATCACACTAACTCTTTGACGTAAAATACAAGCACTGCTTGCTCTGTGCGTTTCAGCTGCAGATTCAGTTTTCGATATGAAACTGTTTCTGTGTGTGTGGAAACTCAGGGTTAGAATAGATGAAAATTTTCTAGAGATTATCCAGGATGAGCAAGGGGCCTGTAACAATCTAAAGCTACAGCCACAGTAACAGAGGGAGACAACCAGATTCCCTTAAGGCTACAAATCTGAACCACTGCAACCATCTCAATAGCCCAAGCCCTCAGCCTCTAACGCACCGTGGGCGTGCACCCCTCACGGCAGATGAGAGCCCTATTTCACTGACTGGCTGTAATCACTCCAGTATGGCTGAGATGATGATGAACTGCAAAAACAAGAGTTAGCAAAACGTGAACCTTTAGTTCTTCATAACTTGCATTATAAATAATCCAGCCACCAAGCCAGGAAACATGAAACTGCTACTCTACCCTTAACTGGTTTAGTGATGGACTTGGTAATGTTAGGTTAATGGTTGGACTGGATGATCTTTTCCAACCTAAACGATTCTATGATTCTATAATCAAAGCAGGCGCGTGCACTTTCACAGGAGTTTGCACCAAGAGCACCAAGTCTTGGAGCAACGTCAAGCCATGTCCGTATTAGGCTTTGGCAAAATCTCCAGCTAGCACTAGCGTATCTATGTGGCACATTTTTAGCACTCTCCGCATGCAGACATGTTCTAACAACAGTCATGAAAAATACTATTACTGTCTTGCTCTGCATTACAGTTGTCACTGCAGTTCTCCAAGGAACCCAGGCAAACACTTCCTGGTTCCTAGTTTGCCAACCCCAAAAAGTTATGATGATGGTGGTAACACTGAACTCATCCTAACCTCTCCTTAATGTTTCCCAGGCATTTCAAGATCATGGCTTTGAAAATGGAATAAGAAGCTGGTTTGGCTATATGAAAACATTCAGCAGTTTGATACATAAGATGACATCCATTGCTTAGGAATCTTCATGTACTTTGAAAAATGCACAGTGAATTCTGCTGAGCTAGTAAAATTCTCGCTTATTTTGAAATATTTAGCAAAACTTTAAAACTGTCCATTTCCCTCTCCCTCCCATTCACCTTTTTGTTTGCTTCAAATATCACACCAGCATTAACCTGCGTAACAAAGACTGATTTGTGTAATTAGAGTCAAGGATGTAGGAATTTTTTGTCATTGCTGAATTTGATAAGAAAGAAGAGAAATACCAAATGCCTCTGGCACTGCTGTATTTCATACAATCAATCACTTGGGGGATTTTTGTTTAAAATGTATGCTTTTCCATTTTCTATGCTATCAGGAGCCTGCAAATTAAAAGGGCATACACATATTTCACTCTTCTCATATCAAGAGAAAATATGTCTTTATTAGTATTGGGCAGAGGTGCCTAGAAGAGCTTAAGGAACACCTAGACCTGATAAGCTACAATGCTGCTCATGTAAAATGTTGTATTACCGCCCCTTTTCTTAATTACCTCAAATCACTTAAATTTGGAGACACCAAAGTAGTCAGAATTGCCTTCAAAGATACTACCTACATAATGTAGACTACAGGTCAGCATCCTTCAGGCAAACCACATACCAAGGAAGACAGCAAAAATCAAATTAACTTACTTGACTTATGCTGCTAGATCACAGCAAAGTATTTCAAAATAAAACAAGAACAACAACACAACTGATGCACTGCAGAAAAAGGAGCCAGTCACTGTTACGCAAGATAGAAAATAATTATTTAGAAGTATCAAGACAGGCTAGGATCACTGTTCCATTATCCTTGCCTCAAATTCTGCATACTTTAAGTAAAAATAAAGCCAGGTAACTAGCTTCTAAAGCCACACTTTTAAGTCAGAAAAAGTGGCTGCATAGCATGAGTGGTATTTCAAAGTCTTTTCAGCAAAACCAAACAATGAAAGCCATTATTTTTTGAACTAATTTAATTAAACGTAATGCTCTACTTACAACTTGAAAACAATTCTAACACCCAAAAAGGCAGTGAGGAAAGCTCAGTTTGATAACCAAAGTTCCAGATTCATTTCTACAATAAATAGTCAGACTGACAATATTTTTATTTTTAACATCCAGACTGACAATGGGACTCAAGTCCGGTGTGCACTTTGTTAGAAGAAAGTTCACTTCTCTAGTCCAACCATGACAATGTTCTAACAAGACAGTCATGTGGTTCATAATAACAGGAAAAAACCTAAGAGTCCCATCTCATATGCGAGCAATAAAGAAATGTGAAAAGCTCAATGAAAAGAGCAAAACAGGTGAAATATAAAAATTTAAATGTACTAACCTGTATTAAAGTAGAATTAGGTATATGCTAAAAAAACAACCATCCTGGATGTAGTCCACAATTAAAATTGATGCAACTAAAACAGAAGCCTCAGACTAACTAGAATCTTTGAATAAGAAAATATCTTATTTTTAAATGAACAGGCAACTCAAACACCACAAAACTGAACCTTGAAGTGAAAGTGGCAATGGCTTTCCATGCCCAAAAGCTATGCAAAAAAAATACAGAGAGAACTCTGTTGGAGAAATTGCTTTAGATCCTTTTGTTGATGGCACATATTTAACCGAACAAGTCTCAGACTACTCTTTCTTTAGTTTTTTTAACTGTGTAAAAGTAAGTAACTAGTATTGGTTGGTTTAGAAGTCTTACTTAGCCAGTGTCACTAACTTCCATTAAGCCTCCAGCTGTGATTCAAAAGCAGCTCAGTTTTCAAGCAAGTTCAGAGAAAAATTAAGTGCAAGCATTTTTTATTTTTGATCTGTAAAAAGAAGACTAAAGCCATTCTGTCTTATTGATATTAATTTTAAATAAAACAGAAGAATCTTAATTTTAAAAGAACATTTAGTAAGCCTGTTAATAACTTAGATTTATACTTTTTTGGTTTTACTTCTCAGTACTGTTTCTGCAATTACGTGATGCCAGCCTTTCTTGAGAAATATTGATTGAACAACTTCCTTCAATATGCTAAACTGATTCAAGGTAAAGTGAATATTGATTAAGCAATATAAAGTTACAAATGTATCTCCGATTCCAAATTTGCAAATACTAATGTTTCAGTTAAGTATGGGTATTCCTACTGAGTTTGTAGGAATGCTTCTTTACTACTTACAACTTTGAAAACTTAGGGCATATAGATCTATAAGCTTTCTTCAAAGATCATACTTTGTCCACTGAAAGATAATGACGCTCTTAATTAAAGCAGTGAAAATTATCTGAATACATTCAAAACAGGATGGTGCGCACTCCATATACTAGGTATGCCAAAATCTCTGTATTATGCATCGTGCTTCCAAATGCCTCATGTCTGTGGCCATCGATTCCCAGGAAGTTAAGGCAGTGACTATGGGAATTTTTGTACAATACTTACCTATTTGGCATTTCAACTAAAGAAAACATACTTTTCACTTCTTTTGCCCTGCTTACCGTATGAATAGAGTTGGTGTCATTTGATATTTCAGGAATTTTCAGATGGAGACTCTGCAATACATATGTTGTCTGCATCTAGCATGAGGAAAGATGAGTTGAGATTACTTGGACAAAGAGTACTGAGAGGAAAGTATTTTTACATTTTTAATAATCAACAAAGATTATACCAGAGGTAAAGTGCTAATATGGCAAAACAAAAAAAATTATCGTTAGACCATTGCAAGATTTTTTTTAACCCTTAGATTTATTTTTACTGAAAGCACAAAGAACCGTTCACGTGACTTTGAAAACAATTTCTGCATGTTTTTCTCCCAAAACATATTTGCTATCCTAATTCATCTCACTAAGACAGAAGAACCAGAAAGGAATTAATTAAAATGAAACCTAAACCACTTACCCTGGCCTATCTGACTCTATTTACGAAAGAGCCCCCAGAAAAATGTGAAATTAGATACTCTGGCATACTGGTAAGCTAAAACAGCTTTCCACAACAATTCTACCTAGCAAATAAAAAAATTCAGAAGCAGCTACCATCACACAGTATTATTTTTGCTAACATAATGTTATTAAAATTATTCCTGAGATGCAACCCCAGGTGTGTGAAAGACAAGTAGTTAACGTTATTGAACACACGGGTATTAAACAAGTGAAACTGTCGATACCAGGGTTCTGAAAAATCCTCATCAATATTCATCATCTTTAGAATCACAGCTACTGAACACTAACTGTAAGTAAACCTTATAGAACAGTTTTCCCCCAAAAGCTTTTGTGCGTTTCCTCCAGGTAACTGCTCTGGGGGGTAGTTTTCAGACAGGAGTTAGACTTATAACCCAGGCTCAGAATTGCAACTTAATGCTACTGCCCCGAGGCCTTTCAAATACAACTGGGAGAAGAAGTAGTTATGGCCCTTAAATTAGAAATTATGGTTTTTAGACATGTAAAATAAAAATGTAACCATCTGGAACTACTCACTTGAAAATACACTGTCCAGTAAGGTATTAAAGCCAAAAAGACAGGGATAATCTTGACGAGAGCTTTCACATCTTCTACTTTATCTTCTCTGAATGGGCCCCCACGAGACAGCTTGGCCATCTCAAACAGGCTTTGCTTGCGAGGTTGCTGAAGTACTCCCTGGCCTTCGCTTTTGAAAAGAATTTGAAATGTTTAGTTAAACAACAAAAATTGATGTAACTGGCAATCTTGTGACACTTGATTATAAAAAGCTCATGCATTCCCAAAGTAAATTGCTCGTGTACGCTCCAGCAAAACAGCTAGGCCAGAATGGATCATCAGCAGGTGAAAGCACAAGCTGAAAACTTCCATTATAAAGGTTTCCTTACTTCACATCCTCCCCCCACCACACATAAGTAAAGTTCTGCACTGCAGTGCCATAAGAAACAGTATCACAAAATACAGGTTATTCTAATTGACTGAATTGTTTTGCAATCTGAATACACGAAAGCCGGTTGCAGAGGAGGCACCTGACACCTCTTATCATCAGTGACTACATTCAGCCACCAGTATTCCATGGGCATCTCTTAAGAGGGGAGTAACCATTCGGAAAGCAAAAAGCCAGTACGCATTTTGGCTGCCCACCAAGCCACTTACAACATGAAGTGCAGATGATAGTGGTTTTCAGATCAGAAGGCATACAGCAGAGAAGAAAGGTAACTAATGCTTAAAAGCAGCATACTTAGGTTACGTTACACTTTCAGAAACTCTGAACTGGCAAGAAATAGCATTCAACTGAAAATAAGAGACTTCATTGGGCATGGAGATCCAGTGAACTCAAAATGCACCTCTCCCTCATCCCAGAACTCCCAGAAAATATCTCCAGGACTCCAATTTTCCAGTTCCAGTTCTCAAAGCAAAACTGCATATTCTAGTGTATTCTCTAGTGTGACTTACTGCCAGTTAGTTTGAACTAACTAGTTGCATCTTTTAGGCTGATTCACTGAATTCAGACTATACAGAAGAGCTCATTACAAACCTATTAGCTGAACGTTCCACATGTCTCTTTCTTGAGCAACAGGAATATGCAAGAATTTTAAACATGTCTGTGAAGGCACTGCCATCAGGCGGTTTTGTGATGAAGAAACTCTGACCACATAAGAAAACCATGAATGAAATCCCAATGCAAACTGTCGGGATACTATATCCAATAACAAAGCTCACATTCTGTTGAATGTATGCAATGCCTCCCAGAGAGAGAATAGCTCCCAAATTAATGCTCCAATAAAACCAATTAAAAAATCTTCTTGTGGCTTCTGGACCCCGATCTTTGACCTGGAAAAGATTAAAAGCAAGTCATTCAGTTTCTGAAGAAGATGAAGCCTGTTTATTCAAATTCAATCAAGTTCAATGCACTGAAGAGTTTAGGTTTAATTTAGAGTCATACTGAAATGATTTCAGTGGTCTGGGCTTAGCATGGTATTTGATGAAATGACACCTTACTGAGCTACCCCACTGTATAGTGATCTTACAGAAGTTCAGCACAGGGATAGAAAAGCCATACAATACTAAACCACATAGCTTCCCCACAGAGGTCGATATTATTTCTACTGCATTATCTCTGCTTTGGTCATTTCTCTAGACAAAGCTCACTCAGATTAATGTCCCACAGTCAACAGAAGTTGAAATAACTATTTTTTAGTTTAAAAAAAAAAAATCAATCTACCTAAAAATTCATGTATTAGTAGTATTGCAACAATTGCTTCTGCCAACTGTATACACATAGCAGTTAACCATATTCCATTTTCTAAGTCTCAAATGACTACTTGGTAATTAAAGCACAAATGTAAACTTTAACACAGTCCTAACGCCTCTCACCAGAACATAAATTGAAGATTTGCCATTATGATCTTAAAAAAAAAAAAAAAAAAATTAAATTTGGGTTGCCTGGGGTGTCACAAGGCCCCAGTAAGCACTTATCCCTCTATTAAGTCAGCACTGTTCATAGCGCTATTCTTCTCCCTGAAGCTCTCAATGTCTCTCCAGTGAAAGTAAAGGCATCCCTGGCTTATAGAATTATCCTGCACAGTTTTCACCATCACTCTTTATTCTGTATTGCCTACCATAAATCACCCCATGTTTTGTAATTAAGTCACAGGAACCCAGCATCACTCATAAGATGTGATGTAAGAGAAATTATGCAAGTCAAAATTTGAAATTCATTAAAAAGATCAATTAGACTATAGAAGAATTCATAATACCAATTCGTCACTGTTTTATGACTGAAAGGCCATTAACAGTGACTAGCAAGTCAGTGCCATGCACCAGTCTTGCCGAGTCAGTTGTTTTTGATTTCTAATTGCAAGTTTCTCTTCCTCATTTGCCAGATCTTCAAAAGATCTGTGTTTAGTTCACAATATGAAAAGCAAGCTATGTCTTGAAAGAAGTTTTTAACATTGTCAGTTCTGATTTACAGCTTCAAGTTTCTCAGTGGTGCACAAACCCATCTGTATCATTTAACCAAGCCTAATGAAAGAAATGTTAGGGCATCTATTCCTACACATAGGTAATAGCATTGTTAGGCATTCAGGTAGGTCTGTTAGCATGTCAAATACAACCCTGGAGCCTAAACCCAAGAAATTCTCCCTTTCCAGTTTCAACTTGGTACTCATTTCCTAATTTTAACAGTCATCACCTGCAGTAGTGCATCAAGCTACGAATTCCTTCTAGACCCCAAATGGCAGCAGGATATTAGCAAACAATTCCATCGTAAACCCAGTGCTCCAACTTATCTAAAGAGTTAGCAATCTATTTTATGAAGTTTCCATTTCTTCACCATAAAGTCTACTTCTGCAAGTAAGATGACTTTCCATCCTCCCTCTTACAAATGACCTTGCTCACATCTATGCAAAGAAAAGCTGGGAGATGAAAGCAAACTTTGATACAGGTAAGAACAGGGCAAGCACAGCATGATGTGTATCAAGTATTATCCCAGCCTACAACCATTAGCTCCTCAAAACTTCCTGAACCAGGGATGGCTTCTATCTACTTAATAAATTCCTCTCCATTAACTTGTCCAGCCTGCCTCTGAACCAGGTCAGCTTTCAGAATCCATAATATCCTGTGGCAAAGAGTTCCCCAGCTAATACACGGTGGGAAGAACCGCCTCCGTTTGTCTGTTTTGAACCTGCCCTGTACCAGCCTCACTCGTTTTACCTAGTTCCAGGAAACAACAGAAGACTGCTGAGCTTTATCCCATCCCTGGTCCATTTCCTCCTCTCTCCCCCAACCACTATGTCCACAAACCGCCGTCACATCTTCCTTCTAGCCGCCTTTTCAGAGATAGGAAGTTGTAGACTGTTTCATGATTCCTTGCATGGAAACTACTGACCGTGTCTGTGGCCCTTCCCTGAAACTTCCTTCTCCATCTCCAGTATCCTTTTTGAAAGAGTGACCAAAAAGGAATGCAATGCTCAAGGGACAGACGCACCATAGACTTACAATGGAAAGAATCAATTTTCTGCTTCCTTATCAAACTAAAAATCACATCACAGCCACGTTTGAAATGCCACTATGGCATTTTATTGACAAACATTAATAACTTAATAAAAATCACACTGAACTAGCTGCTGGAATATCTTGTCAGAGTGGAAGAACTCTGAAGATGTCTTACCAAAACCGGAAAACACAACAGAGTCAAAAGGCAATCCTTGTAGTTCCTTGCAAACATCACATTGGCTGCCCCAAATATTAGCTATATTACATTTACAGCGGACTACTCAAAGTTTCCCCTTGCTGGCTATTACTTGAGCTGTGTGACAGCAGAAAATAGATTGGTTTATTCTCTTCCTAAGTAGACGCTACATTCTAATAAGGGACCAAGAAGAAGAAAACCTTGTTAGAATTCTATTATTTTATTTTTATCAAGGACAAGTATTTTTCATAAAACTGCAGGAATCCTCCTTTTCCCCCTTATGCTTGCATTATTTTCAATCACCCAAGCAGAAAGAAAAATCAATCACTCCCTCTGCTCAATTTTATCTGTGCTCAAGCATAGCAGCATTCTCCTTGTGGGGCCAACATCACCAGCTTCATTATATTCTTAACATCCTACCAGCAACTGCAGCAGGAAAATGATGCACGTAAATGGCGCAAGTATGGTGTGGGTCCTGGATCGAATCTGTTCTGTGGGCTAAGGGTTCCACATCCCTGCACTGAAAGTCAAAATATGTATGTTTAAAAGATTCTGTCCCCATCACAACAAAACAGCTTAAAAACAGTAGTAGTGCCTACAAGGTACGAAAAAGGTCGCCTTCTTGGATTTACCATGGTTTAGTCAGTTCCTTACAACAGGAAAACACAAACAGTATCAGTCAAATGCCATGGCTAGAGTGCAAGGCTTCCTATCACCGAATAAACTGTAATAAAACTGTTTCAAAGGTGCCCTGACTCAAATGAACATTAGCAAGTATCTGATACACACAATTAATTTGCTCTAGGTAACATGTTGTTTTGCAAATGAGCTCAGATTCAGACATTTTCCACAGAATTTACCAGTGTTGGACAGCTGTCACTTATTTAGATCAACTCCCACTGCGTAATATCCAGCCCTGAGTCTCCAGTTCACTGTTCTGCATTCTTCAAACCTTTCACACCTTTTTTCCCTACTAAATGGGACAGCACATCATTCTCCAGGAACACTAAGGAACAATCCAGTAGTGCTGCTACTTCAATAAAAATACAGAATGACCTACTGTACCATACAAGGAGGAACCCAGTTTCCCTAATTTTCCTCTTTTAAACTATAAGGCACATTTTAATTAAAAAAACCCAAAACACACAAAACCCAAAAGACAACCCCCCCTCCCCAAAAAAAAAACCTAAACAAAAAACCCACACAAAAAACCACCACCAAGCAAGAAATTAAGGAAATTAGCAACTCTAAGCTTTCTGGCCACAGCTGCTTTGTCAGTCATTGGCCACATGTCAATGCTGCCTGCATTCAGGTGGGCCTCTAAAGAGGAAATAAAATAATCTTGCTACTTTCAAGACACCTAATATAATTTTTGCCAAAGAAAATCTAACCTAACACTTGATTTTTCTACAGTCCAAGAGGTGTTTTTCTTGATATATCTGATAACGATCCTTTACATATAGTTAATCCAAATGCAGAAAGAAAAGCACAGTGACATTCTGAGTTTTATGACTGGGACCTACACAACACTGGATTTGAAAATAGTAAAGGAATAGTAATAGTTCTCAAAATCAAAATTTCTAATACAAAACACTTGTATCCAACTGATTACGACCAGTTTTCACGATAAAGAATCCTGAGTGGCTGGAACACTATGGGAACACACTGGGAACGGTGTAATCATTAGGTTATTTACAGCCACTTTCAGCAGAGGACACATCAGCTGTGTAACTCTGCACTGCAGTACTCTAAACTCATTTAGGACATAAGGTTAACATCTTACAATCAGAACAAAATTTTAAACGCAACTAAAACAAAGAAAGAGAGAAAGAGTAACTAGATCTTTAGTTACAACACCTGACGAGAAGTCATGACAAATATCTGACCGACAGCAACTTCCACAGCACAGCTGTCCCTAAAGTTAATACTCAGACCTCATTCTGGCTTAGAAGAAAGACGATCGCTTGCTGAATTATCCCTCCCCTGGATTTTTCAACACCAACATCTTTCTTAGGAGATGATCCAAGTACCAACCAAAGCAGTTCACACAGCTTGAAAGCAAAAATATTACACAGTTCAGATATTAAGATTCTACCAGATTCTCCTGATTTTTGTGTACAGAGCCAGGAATCTACATGAGCATCATTGCTTCTCCATAGTTCCTGTGTTTAGATGCTTTGCTTTGTCACAAAGTAATTTCCTAGCTCTCCACAGCTAGGTCAGTTTCAAAGAAGCGGTTTTCCACAGGATTTCTTATTTTTGCCGCAGCTAGTGCCTATCCGGTGCCTACCATTCTACTGTGACATCTGATTTCTGGCATCAACTGCTAATGAAGTCAAGTATTTCCTAAACCCCAACATTTCAGAGTTCCAGTATGTCATAATCTTCCCTCTCCCCCTCTTCACATCATGACAGATCCAAAGCTATGACCTCCTATTTGATTCACATAAAAGGAAAGAGAAGATTATTTAGCAGTTACTGACATTAGCAGTTTTCATTTGTTCCTACAATCAGCTGACAGTCACAAGTGACAAATGTAACAAAAACGTCCAAACTTATTCCAGCCAACTATGTGAGCAGTTGCACAACAGAGCAAGGATGAAAATGTAGAAGCTTACCCTCGTCCTCAGGCTACAAAAGGAAGAGCAATGGCAACAGTTTTCCACAGTCAAATTTATGCTTACAGAATTCTGACCTTCTAATCCATCGCTACAGACACCAGTTGTTCTGTGAGAGCAGCTGGAGAGAGCTCCATAACAGAGCTACACAGTACTACTCACTTGCTGTATAATTTCAAGTTTTTATACTAAAGTTTGGCCAGTCCACATTCAAAGTCTGCTTCCTCTCACTAGCGTCATATCTATTCTATTTCTGTCAGAACCAGAAACAAATTACTACTGCCCATGTGAATGCCACAACTTCAGTTTTTAAACTGTTATCTGCAGAGTCTCAGATGTCCATAATCTCCTAAGAAGTTCAACAACAACAAAAAAGTAACTTGCAGTTAGTGACCTTCAATTCTTTATACATGGTCCCCCCATTCTTCCCCAGAGGCTGGAAAATCTAAGTTCTACAAAAAAATAAATAAAGGTTGGAAAATCACTCTAAAGCCATCTTCACACCAGCAGTTTCCAATAGCGTCCTGCCTCTGGCGATGCAACTGTAACAACAACAAAGGTAGAGGATTTTTGGCAGGTTATGGACTGATGGCTTTAATGCCTATGATGGCAATTCAGAAAGGAGATACACTGTGGGTTAAAACTAGCGCCGCTAATCACCATTATTCCCCCAAAAGATTCATCTAGAATTAGAACGACGATGATAGCTGATACTAGATCAGTAGTCTACCACTAATATTGGCGTCAACGTTGAAGCTAAACCAGCTTTCACAATAACGAGGGACAGTCATATTGTTTCCTAACTACAGAAAGTCACAAACTGCTCCATAGAACAGGAAGTGACTGCAAAACGCTCGCACTTAAAAGGGGAACTGGAAAGCGCCAGGTTATACATATCACATGATATAAAACACTATTCTGAGAACCATCAGTTCAGATTCAGACTTGTACGATGGATCAGTCTGCAACTTCTAGAAAAACAGCTCTTATTCATAAACACAGTTAAGTAAAGCTGGTCTATACCTGGTTTGCAGTAACTGGGTTTTTTGCTAAGCTGACTGGCAAAAGTCATACACCAACTCTACTTAGTCACTTGTAACAGCACTTCTGAAAGCATCCATTTAACAGAAATTAAGCAACTACATCTTTTTAACCTCAGAGGAAAAGAAGTATTGGAATTCGGTTCCCAATTTTCCACAAAGTGATTCTTTTCTTCTAAATAAAAAAAATTCCTCATTATATTTGGGTTCTCCACCCAAATTATAGATCATCTGTTAAAACTGAAAAACTTACATGAATTTTTAAGAGATCTGCAATGAAATGTAATTAACAATATCTGAAAGGCAGTTCATGTCAGCTAAAGTACACAATACACAATTCGCATTTTCCTTTGTTTGGTATTTAAGGGAAAG